AATGTGTTAGTTTCAAGATACTGATGAGCAATAGGCAGACTGGCTGTGGGTGTCTAGAAAACAGCACAAGGGAGATGATCAAACCCCAGGGGAACAGGAGGTAGAATGGGCTTGGACAGCTGCATCCATGTTTTTTTTTGCCAGATATGATTTGGTCTTGCGAGGTTATGTATGAAAAACTTTCCAAGCAAGGAGAAGCCTCTGTGAGTCCATTCTGCAAGGCTGGGTGCTTGACTGAGAAGGCAATTTAGACTGGAATTTGGGGAAACGAGCAGTAGGATCAGTTCAGGATTATTGGATTATGGATCATTTAATACCTTTAAAATTGAAGGGGAGTAACTGCAAAACTCAAATTGGTAAAAAGAAAAAAGTAAACAGACAAAATAAAACAATACATCACTAGGACAAAGAATCTGTGATGGCAACAGGCTTTAGAGAGCTCTTAAGCAAGCATCAGCTGTTCAATGATGAGTGTGTTGAGGCAGAGCAGTGATGAACTGCAGCCCATGTAGTTTGTCCATCCACCATGCTGCTGTCAACATCTGCTGCGTTTGGGTGAACTCGGACTGCTTGCAGAAGAGCAAAGGGATACAGAGCACTGCTCAGAGTAGCATGTTTAACTGCATTACTGAAATAAGAGTTGTGAGGAGGCAAGAGTTGTTATTATTATCTTATTGTTGCATCACGTGCTTGTCTTTGTCAAAAACCAGACCACTGGACCATCTGGATTTGAAGCAGATTCCACAAGGCCACGCCAGAAATTCATTTTGTATGCAGTGTGTGCATGTTGCTGAATTGGTTGCTTTGAAGGCAAAAAAGGAGTAATACCAAAAGGGCTGTTTCCTGAATATCCATTAAAGGTTGCTGGCAGCTGTGGTTTGCAGCAGAGCTTGTTGTCTGACTTCTCCAGTGTGCCTAGAATTTTAATACTGGAAGGGACTGTGACCATCAAGTGCAGCCTCTGGTAAGTCACAGCAGGCTGTCTGCAGAGCTTCTGTTCACTAGTAATGTTTCAGCTGAGGTAAAGCACACAGCTTTTAGGGATGGCTAGCCTTGATTTAAGAAAGGGCCTTGTATAGTAGAAAATCCATTACAAGTCTGGCAAGGTGTTCATCACAATCTCTGTTAATAATCTGCACCTTGTGTCTACTCTTCAACTATTCCACCTTCAGTCGCTAGGGTTTTTTCTGCTTTTCTGCCAAGAGAAAAGCTGTCTGTGATCAGAAATTACCCACTTGTGCAGGTACTTAGAGACTGTGATGAAGCTGCAGCTTAAATTTCTCTTATGAGTGAAGCCTCCTTCTCTACTTTCTACCTATTTTCTGCAACATGACACATGTAGCTGCCTTCTGATTCCTGATTTCTCCAACATACTTGGGAAATAGCAATACCAGAACTGGATCCATTATGAACATGTATGTAGTCCTGTATCTTTCCTTCCCTTCCCTTTATAAATCCTTCCAGATTTATAAAGAGACTGTTAAAGATGAAAGGAGCAGTGCTATGGGCAAGAATATTAGTGATTATGCATGATTAATCTGCTAACCCAAAGTGACTGTAACTGGTGAAATTCTGAGTTCTTAGCACCCCTAACATCCAGCTCCTCCAGTGTCAGCATGCAGCTCTTACACAACCAGGAACAAGGGAAGACACTTAACTAGGTAGCCAAATTGGCAAAATCTTCCCAATATCAGAAAAGTTTCTGGATAGGGAAGAGCTCTCTGTAGGGTCAGGACTGGGTATCGTGTTGTAAGAGGAAGAACACTAGGAAGGAAGGTTTGCTTGGAGAGATGAGGGTTTGGGTGGAGCAGGTAAGAGGTACCTTTTGCTGTCAGATTGCTTTCTGTGATTTATGACTTTTTTTTCTCCCCCACACACACTTTCTGGTTCATATCTGGACTTTATGAACAGAATTATTCTGTCACTCTCGGTGACTGACAGTCAGGTCATGTCATCCAATGTGTTCTACGGGGTCTTTGCCCATCAGAATAACATGCACAGTGTAATTCTACTTTTCAGTTAGTATGAGCCTACAGTGACTTAATCTTCTCCAGTAAGCATTTTTTTAGAATCATAGAATTTTTTCAGGTTGGAAAACACCTTTAAGATCATCAAGTCCAACTGTTAACACTGCCAAGTCCACCACTAAACATTGGTGTCCCTGAGCAACACAGCTACACCTCTTGGGAATACCTCCGGGGAAGGTGACTCAGCCACTTCCCTGGGCAGCCTGTTCCAATGCTTAAGATCTCTTTCATGTTAGCATACTTTCACATGCTTTCACAAGAAAACTTTCACAACAATCCTCTTGCAATCTAACAGCCACCTCTCTGATCTTCATGGAAGCTCTCTGAGATGTCATGATTCCACCACCCAGAGAATGATTAGTTCCCTTGGAGTACCACATAATAATTATCTGTCTCAGTACTTGACCAAAGTTATATAGAATTTTTTTGCCCCATTTCATCTTCATCTGCAAGAAAAGGCAACTTGAAATACCAGACAGGTAGTCTCCATAGATACAATGCCAGCACATTACTCAGCCAAACGCTGGGAAATCAAAACCATTTTTGTTTTTCTGTCTTAACCTGTCATGAAGTTCAGAGAAGTTCTCTTTCAAGAGACTGTTTCAGCAGTGCTGTGGATTTCCTTCCTCACTCTCTCTTCTCTTACTCTTGAAAGGAAAGATTATTGGTATTAAAAGTTACTTGCATGCCCTCTTCTATTTAAGGAGATTAAATTTAAGCAGAAAGAGACATCACCAAGTTCAAACACTGTACTTCAGCATCAGCAGATGTCCCTTTGGAAGTGGGGTTTTATTGAATTTGTGCTGAATGGAACTTTGTCACATCTGGTGAGGCGTTAAGACTCCTGACACAGGCTGAGGTGCTCTGTGTGCTGATGCTCATGTGCACAACAAAATCTCGGTGCCTGAGACCCCTCTGGTCCCCTCATCTGTTCCTTCAGGCCCCTCTGGTCTGTAGCAAGTGCTTGGCAGCAGTATCTGTCAAATCAGACTCTCTGTTAGCAAGCAATGGGTCATGTCATCTTGTGGATTCCCCACACAGGTCAGCCTGGGAGGCAATCACTTTGCCCAGTGCCAGAGCTTTCAAATATCATGAGGTTGCCAGCATTTCCTGGGGCCTTCTCTGTCTTGGCTCATTATTGGCATGTTTAGAAACTTCCTATCTTGCAAATGGGTTCATTTTACTGTCTTGCACATTTAGCAGCCTGTTCAGGAATTTCTCTTTTAGAGCTCACTGGTAGAGCAATGTTACTGTAAGTTAGTTTTGGCCTGAAGGCTACAAGCTCCTGAACAAGCTGCTAAGTTTCTGAGAGGAACATAAAATCCATGCTTGAAAGGGTAAGTTTCTAAATGTGAAACAGATGTCTCCCTTTCAGTGAGATTTTATACAATATTTCTCTTACAATCAATGAAGAACATGCATCTACAAAAGGGTTTTTGAGAAGATCTTTGGCCACCTCATCTCAAGCTGGAGTTGCTCCCAAGGCAAGTTAAAAAGCTTTGCAAGACCCTACTTGCACCAAAGCTGCAACTCCAAAGCCTGGAATAACCCCAGCCTTGGTGCCTGTTGTTGCATGTGGACTCAATGCAAGTGAGGAGGAAGCCACCTGAGTGCAGAATCTCATCTCCTCCTGCTTGGCTGGAGGATTTTACTCCTTCTGTAGTGGCACATTCAAGTCCTCTGTGGACCAGTCCTAGTAATCACTGTGAAGGAAACTTTTGTTACATCAGGGTTGCTGCAATTTGACCATGAAGACTTTAAGAGACACACCTGGGCAGGTGCTTCTGCCTACACACTGTAAATCTGGCAGCATCCCATTGCTGCTGGAGCAAATCATGGTTGGTTGGTTGGTTTGTTTGGTTTTGTTTGGTTTTGGTATTTTTTGTCTTTCAGCTTCTACTGCTGTGGTTGCTTATGTTTAAGTTGGCACAGTATTTGTCACCTTGTCCCCAGTGGGTAATGTCTTGCTGATATTCTCCTGGCCACCTGAGCAGTGACATTCCTTAAAACTGGCATTTGAGTTGGCAAATGCAGAGCACCCTATGCTTACAGCTCCTTCTGCATTAGATAGGGGACATCATGTTTTTGAAGTGCCAGCTCCCACAGGTTCACCCTGGTTCATCTGGCTAGAGAGTCGCTTTCTCTCATTCAAGAAAGATGAACATGTAAAATGGGCTTTTTCAGCTCCCTGCAGTGATTTCCAAAATCTTTTGTCATTCCTCGTTTCGTGCTTTCAAGTTCATGCAATAGTGATGGAGGCTGTGACATAGTTGGTGAATGGAGATTCCCCACATGCTCATAAGGAGGACAACTGTTAGCCAGTGCCATGCATACAGTAGGAGTTAAAAAGAGTGCTGGCTTTGTGACAGTGGCTGGGGTGACTTCCCCAAGCATTGGTGCTGACAGGTGCAGTCCCTACCTTACAGAGGTAACCGTACCTCTGAGCTGTGCTCCCACTTCTCTCCTGTTTGATTTTTCTTCCAACAGGCATAAGGGTTTGGGTTTCTCAGCCTCTGCTCAGGGTGCTGCTAAAACAAGGGGTTAGTGCCATCACAAGCCTTTTGGCAGGGCAGGGAGGGAGATGTGCCACAGTCACAGTACCCATCCTGAAGTCCTTCTGAAGGATGCCGCTGGCTGGTGTGGACTCTACAGGAGGGCAGGCTGACTCCTGTGGTCCTGCTGCTGTGGGGCCACAGCAGAGAAGAAGGGGTGCACAGGCCATGACAAATAGGGTACAGGTGCCCCCAGAGCTGGCCACATCTGGAGACCTCTTCATGGTAGAGACCCTAGGGTGGTTCACCACCAGTTTTCTACCATGGATGCTGGAGGTCTGTCTTATTGTTGAGAAGTTTCCCTGGTGTGACTGGGGAGGGGTTTTTTGAGTGGATGCTTGCAGCCTCGGCCCATGGCAGAGGAGAAATAATGATACCATTAATCAGCACCTCTACATTTCTCTCTCTCTTGCTGTTCCAGAGTGATTACTCAAGTGACACCGAAAGTGAAGACAATTTCCTGATGATGCCACCAAGGGATCATCTCGGCCTCACTGTGTTCTCCATGCTCTGCTGCTTCTGGCCATTGGGAATTGCTGCCTTTTACCTGTCTCATGAGGTAATGCTAAAGCGTCTCCTAATTCAGAGTTTTGCATCCATGGAGTAGTCATCACCCCACATCAGCAGGGAACGTTCATGAAAACATAAATGTGGGCAAGGCATTCTCCAGGGTAGTAGGAGGTAGTTAAACAGGGTAGTGTGTTCCCCACTTTGATATGTCTCTGCGGTAGCGGTGGTTGTCTTGTGAGATACTTTACTGATGGAGTAATCTATAAAATATTTTAGATTTTAGATGATGGTGGTCAGGTTCCATGTCAGGCTATAGAATGACCAGCTGGAGATTTTCTGTGGACATGACTTTTGAGTGGAAAACATCCTTGCTATCTCAAACAGTTAGATTTCCCATTGGGAAAACTGATCTGTTGCTTCCCAAGTGGATCATCTAGAAAAGCAAATCAAGTAATATCCTTCCAGGAGCATAAAAATAATTTCAATTTTACAGAAATGAATTTGCTTTCCAGGAACCATTTCCTTTCCCCCTGAAAATTCGCTCACTCTGTTCTTCTTGTCCGATTTTAATACGGAAATAATTTTTACAAGAGCAGTGATAGTGTTTCCATTTGTTTCCTTCATGAGGCAGGCTTGCTCATTTCCAGCCTGTGGCTAACAGTCATCTCATGCCCCATCATTTGTTTCAACAAGTATGTCTTCATAAGTGCCTGCAGAGAAATTATTGAGTTTCCCAGCATGACAGATAATGTAACATGACAGAAAAGGAGTCACACTGGAAGTCTTATCAATGACTGCAAAGAAACTTTCACTTGTATTTCTATCTACTGGTGGTAGGAATGCCTGTTTGCAAACCACTGTCTGTGCTCCTCAGGACTAAAATCATTCACCTTCTCACCTGTCTTTCTTCTCTGCCTGCTCGAAACATTTACCTCCACTATATATTTTCAAGTCAGAGCAGACACTTCAGATCTGAAAAGCCCTAATCTTGAATATCAAAGAAAGAGATACAGTACTATCAATTTTTGCTTCAAATTAAGTGTCTGTCATTGAACTTGGAATCCTCTGAGACAATTAAAGTTTGTCCTGTGGAAAATAAGAGGTTCCCTTGTTTGAGTGCTATTGATTTCTCAAGTTTTGGTCAAGAGATCTGCCTGATGACAATGACAGTGAAAACTAAAGCATTAGGTGGGATCTGCATGAAGGATTGTGCTGAAGGATTTAAGCACTGGAAAATGGAAATTTGGATGTGGTTTAGTTTAGCATAGTGATGTGATTGATTTAGCCACAGCTGAGTGTGGCCGCCTAAAACTAGGAGCTGTCAGCAAAAGAAGGTCAGGCAGGTGTTTTGTTTTTATTAGGTTGAGAGACAATAAACTAATATTTGTTAGTTGACACCTTTGGTGCACCAAGGGAAACTGTGGCTAAATCCAGCCAGGAAGAAGGACTGTGTTTGTGGGGAATTTTGACTTCTGTCTTTTGTTCTTTGCATTGGAAGTAGAAAGCTTTTCATCACTCCCCACTAAACGATAATAACACCACCCCTGCATCCTCTTTTCATCCAGTCTCTCCCCTTAGCTCTCTGTCCACAACGCTGGTATAAACCACCAAAATCCTGCACATAGCTAAGCTAATAACAGCAGTAGTACTCATGCTTTCAAGAATAAACCATTCCAGATGATGTTTTATGTGAACCAGTAAAACATTACATCCTATTAGCATGTGATTTCTAATTATAGAGGTTTTTAACTTCAGCTCCTAAATAACATTTGAGATCTCTTGTTAATCTGAAAGGGTAGTCTAACATTCCCCATCCTTTGTCAAAAGCCAGAACTGTAACAAAAGATCAACACTTGGCACTTGCATTCAAACCTTTTTTTCAACTTCTTGAGCTCTTGAAAATTTCATGCTTTTGAAAGTCTCCTGGGTAGTTCTACTAAACAAGCCCAGACTGGAGAAAAATAGTAGCATGTAGAAACTTCAGAATTGGTGGGCGGTATCTTTGTGTCAGAATTTAGCACCTAAATTGAACTTTATTTTTAAAAAAACATGTTCTTGTTGAAGTTTGCAATGCATTTACAGATGAAGGTCTAATTTGCAGAAGATATATTTGCAGTACAGGTCAGTCCAAAGGGACAGGTGATTTCAGTTTATTCCTGCAGCATCTGGCAGTACATTTATGCTGCATATGTCTATGTCACGGTGCAAAAGAATTATATGAGGATGGATGCTGTAAGGTTTCAGAGGTGCTCTTTACAAATGGAATGATTTCCTTTTCCCTATGATCCATAAAAGCAATGTGCTTCCTGCAGGGGCTGTTTCTGCTCTGTGTGGGACTTCATGTTTCCACCAGTTGTTTTCCACCATTGGCTCTTGCCAATGTGCTGTTGACTTAGGGCTTCTTGGAGGCCATCTGCATTAAGTGATGCAGCTGTCCAGGATCTGCCTCTGTGGTAGAAATGGAGATGTGCACCAGGTTTGGCTGAACCTGTAGGGAGGAGCAGTGGACTCAGAAATGCACTCTGTGAAAGCAAAATCAGTTCCTTTCCATTGGACTATCCAATTTTCATGAGTGCACAAGACCACCTTCCATCATTGTTGCTTCTTTAGACCATTAGATTTGATATGATACCCGTTGCCTTACAGGCACAAGGAGTCCTCGTGGTCATGCTAGTGTCATGCTAAGCAGTGTCCAGGTCCCTTTCTCATCTGAGCTGTCACAGCTAAAATACAGGGGCTTTGCACACATTAAACGTTCAGGTGACCTGTCCAGAGGCCCCTGCTTTAGGGTAACCTCTGAGGAGGGGGTAACGTCTTTGAGTACTCTAATTTTTGACAGTAGACAGTGTTTAATTTTCCACTTTTCTACAAATAGGGCTTATGAGTTTTTAGGCTTGCAATTTTTTTTGGACGAGCTGCTTTCTTAGCACCTTATAGCTGAGTCTGAAGGGATCAGTCAGAGAGGGTTTCATGCATTTTGCAGGGAAGCCTTTGTAGAGCAAAATGTTAATGTCATATGCCTTTCACCATACAATTCTCTTCCACAAACAGTATCTGATTTAAAAAAAAAATTTTTTTTTTTTTTTTTTTTTAAAATCTCCACCCTCTGGAGTTGTGCAGTTTTCATTTTTACAGAAGTTTTAGCCTCAGTTTTCATTTTTACAGAAGCTTTTAGCTTTGTAGATTGTAGGCAAGTCTGAAGCTTCATAAGCTGGAGGAACAAGTTTAAAAATTTTTTTGTTGGTCTTGTCAAGTTTACTATTAAACCTATCAGATGATTTATCAGGGCCTGTTGGGCTTTCTTCCTGGTGAAGGCTGAAAGTCTTGCAAGGTCTCTTTGAATCTTCTCTTTCTTTCTGCATGTATTTTTAGGAAAGAGCAATACCGTGGCACACATTTCTTTCCCCTCCTGTAAAAAGAAATCAGTTATCAGGGACCTAAGTCTGCGCTGATGTGAACGAGCTTCACTTCTTACCTGCTCTCTTGAGGGATGTGGGTAGTCATGTGAAGCCCTTCACCCCTGGTAAGTCCCCACCAAAGCATCTGAGAGATGCCAGCTGGGCCAGACAGAAACAAGGGTGCATACAACACCTCTGTCCAGCTTCCATGCCGTTTCCATGGAGCTGTGTCAGGCTGGCGTAGACATACGTCTGAAAAATCCCACTGGACATTTCTTGGCATGCTTAGGTGCTCAGATAGCCTCCAAACCAGGCAGCACATGAGATCTGTCAGGCAACAAACTGCAATCCAAGTGCACAAGAGCAATCACTTCCCTTCCGCTTAGCTCCCTCCGTGCCATAATTACCTTCCTCACATGGTGATCAAGGGATGCATGGCTCTGTCATTATTTGCCCAGCCCGTAAGTTGCTTGAGTGGGCACAGATCTAAATACTATTGCTCAGATTGTCTTTAGAGAACAGTAGAGACTATGCAGTGGATAAAAGGATCTTTGGAAGTTTTCATATGGACATGAGGCATACACGAGCAGGCAAAGGAGTAGCTTCTCTTCCTTCATGATAGCTTCTGAAACATTTGGTTAATTTCTATCCAGTTTTCAGAGATGGAGTGTCTTTTCTTTTCTTTTCCTTTCTTTCCTTTCCTTTCCTTTCCTGTCCTTTCCTTTCCTTTCCTTTCCTGTCCTTTCCTTTCCTTTCCTTTCCTGTCCTTTCCTTTCCTTTCCTTTCCTGTCCTTTCCTTTCCTTTCCTTTCCTGTCCTTTCCTTTCCTTTCCTTTCCTGTCCTTTCCTTTCCTTTCCTTTCCTGTCCTTTCCTTTCCTTTCCTTTTCTTTTCTTTTCTTTTCTTTTTCCTTTTCCTTTCCTTTTCTTTTTCCTTTCCTTTCCTTTCCTTTCCTTTCCTTTCCTTTCCTTTCCTTTCCTTTCCTTTCCTTTCCTTTCCTTTCCTTTCCTTTCCTTTCCTTTCCTTTCCTTTCCATTTCTTTCCTTTCCTTTCCTTTCCTTTCCTTTCCTTTCCTTTCCTTTCCTTTCCTTTCCTTTCCTTTCCTTTCCTATTTTGACATCTAGCCACTATTGAAAAGGAAAGGGAAATAACAGCCAGGTGTTACCTGTTGCTTATTCATTAGAAATGTGGCTCATAGTCCCCATTTCACCAGGGAAAACCATGAGACAGGACAGCGTATGACATGCCACACTCCACCAAACTGGCTGGTGATTCTGGTAAGACCTTTCCATGCTCTAACAGACAGCTCTGGTTATTCTTTGCATCTCTACCTCACTTTTCTCTGATAGAAAACAGAATATAATAAAGAAGTTGGCATCCACAGCCATGAGCATATGTTTGTACTGGTGATGCTGCATCCGCTCGTATCTGAGATTGAAAGGCACAGGCAAAACAAAAACCATGGCCTCTTTTTCTTCACTTGTTTTATGTGCAGTAGCAGGCCAAGCTGTATACTTGCAGGGCTTGCTGGTCAGCACTGCTGAAGCAATGTTAGCAAAGCAGACAGTGGGGTTTTGTGTTTTCAAGAGAGGTGGTTGATTTTTCAGCACTGCGTCGTTTTTTGGATTATATGCTTGTACAGAAGAGCTGACTGACAAAAGAAGATAAACTTTAGCTTCTTTAGATATAACATGAAAAAGT